TATATAATGCCCATGCTCTGCGCGCTCTGTGCGCTCTGTGCGCCCTGCACCAACAGGGCCAGCAGGGCCTACAGAGCCAACAGGGCATACCACGTGACTCAGCCTTGTTCTCCTATGGATCCCCCCACGTGCCCAACGAGTGTGATGAGTCGTGCTCGTGCGGCTCGTGACCGGTCTCCTTCAAGGCTGTGTCCAACATATAATTTAGCTCGACGATTAATTCGCGGATATATTCTCCGACTGAGAGCGAGTAGTTATTCTTTTATCGGTGAATATTCTACGTATCTTACGCTTATCGCTTACTACGACCGACTTAGAGTTAACGCTTTAAGAATATTAAAGTTTCCTTAGTAAGTAAGTAGAATCTAACGATAAGCGTATATTTAAGATATCTCTATAGTATATAGTCGATACTATACATAATTTAAAGTGTAAGAGAGGAAAGAGTGCGCCTTCTATACGGGGAGTGTACTAGTAATAAGGATGCACTTCTCGAGTCGTATTCCTTAGCTAGTGGTCTAATTATATTAGGCGTCCGTTCTTCCGATATTTAGCTAAATTCGTAATAATACGACTTAAGGGATGCATCCTTATTACTAGTACACTCCCCGTATAGAAGGCGCACTCTTTTCTCTCTTACACTTTAAGTCGTGTACAGTATCGACTATATACTATAGGGGTATCTTAAATATACGCTTATCGTTAGATTCTGCCTACTTACTAAGAAATCCCTAACACTTAGACTCTTCTCGCGAAGGCGTTTTACTTCGTAAAATAGTGAGCCCCGTCTACTTATAGTAACTGAGCCGATGGGTCTAAGAACTGAGATAGATAAGACTAAGCTAGAGTTATACCTCGGCGCACCTTCCTTTCTTTTCCGCCACACACTCTCTCCGGGTTCTACCCTAGCACCCGTACACCCGTCCTCATTAAGATCCTTTCTCTCTGACGATACTCTCTAGGTTCTAATAGCACAGAAGCTCCGTCCCTAGAGCCGTAGCGATTTTGAGATCTCTATTGTCTGCGCTTTGCGCAACGAGCGCGACGGTGTCGAAGCATTTCTCGACGAAGAGTACGAAACGGATGGGTTTGCATACAAGGCAGGCAGTGCGTACTCGAATTTGCATGAAGGGAACGGGATACATGGATAGAGAGTATTGGAGCGGCAATCACCAATGAATTTAACCCCCGCTCCATAAATCCACCGAGTGAATCTTGCGGCTTAGCTTACCGTGCTTCCACTCTCACCCTCACCTAAAATCCAGATTTGGAGTTTGTTGTGGGGATGGGTGGTGGCAGAGCTTCATTTCCCCACAAGTCTGCCTCGAGAGACAGTTAAAGACATAGGTACCCCTAATAGGTAATGCAAGACAGAGTTATGGACATTGTCTCTTTAATACTATGAAAGGATATTGGTAGAGACTTTGAACAGTCAGTCGCCGTCAACCATCTTGTTCTTTCCATTCGCAATCATTCTTAGCCCCACCGCTTCTCATTATCTATCTTGGGTTTAAACCCAAATACCGCATTCAAACAACATGGCCGTTCCACGAGGGAAGATTGTCGTCAGCTACACTGGAAAAGACGGCAAAGGCTACTTCGAACCTGATGCCCAAGTTGCCGTGGAAGAACTACCTGGCGGCGCCACGGTCCGCCGCATCTCCAGCATTCCCAAGGTGCCGATCCCTTCAGTACCGACCGGGGGAGAGCACCTCACGGTGTCCGTGAGTAACAACGAGGGTGTAACGTTTCTCGAATGCGAAATGGCGCCAGGCCAGTTGAGTCCCATGCACGCCACGCCGTCCATCGACTATGGTGTCATGATCAGCGGACAGATTTACTTGATCCTAGACTCGGGGGAGGAGAGGGTGCTCAAGTGAGTTTCTGTCTCAGAATGCCCTCACCATCCGATGACAGTTCACTGACCTCCCAAACTCCAGGCCGGGCGACGTATACATCCAGAAAGCTGCCAACCACGCATGGAATAACCGCACTTCAGAGCCCGCACGCTTTGCCACGGTTCTGGTTGCTGCGCGTCCTGCGTAGGCTGGCCACTGGTCAGACGGCTTCTAGCTTGATAGACAGCATATACTGTACAATGATATTGAATCATATCCCAATGATTGGATTGGATTTGCTTCTTTTTGTATCCGTAGAGACCATATCTGCTACCACCACCGCTATTTCTTCACGTCTATCGCCAGTGCCGTGCCTCCGTCGTTGGGCAGACCTCCCAAGAATTCGACTTTCAGGTCATACAGCCCCTGGAGCCCTTCCTTGCCAGCTGCGACCACAGTGCTAATGTCTTGCTCACAGTCGAAGTACTTCCCTGCCAATACCTTCCCCTTCCCCGTCGATAAGAAAGCGCACGTCTGACCGCACACACTGGGCAACACCTTGAATAGCTTGTGGAACGACCGCCATTTTTCCGCCATGGCGGGATAGCGTTCTGCCACGTCGGCGTGGACCGGTACTGTGGTTCGTGAGCCGCTGTCAATGTATTGGACGTACGTCTGTGTCTCTTCAGGGACTTACGGGTCATGTCGGTCTTAACTGCACCGGGATGTAGAGCGTAAACGTGGATGCTATCTCCGAACCCATCGACGGCCAACTCGGCCTGGAGACACGCCGTCAATCGAATGAGACCAGCCTTGCCTGTCGAGTAGGCACCAGCGAACGGAGTGTTCACCGTGCCAGCTCGAGAAGCGATGTTTATGATGCAACCATCCCTGCGTTCCCTCATGCCGGGGAGAACCAACCAGGAACAGATTGAGGCCTGCATTCGTGCGTGTGAGATTCAATAAAAAGAGCCATTGCTTTCTATCAAGCCGGAGGTACTCACCCCCTTCAAATTCAATTCCACGCCGGCCCAGAATTCCTCGAAGCCTTCCATGGCCATAGGTTTCCGATTATTGCGCCCGGCATTATTGACCAGGATCCTTCAACCGTGCATTAGTAAGTGCTGGAGAAAACGGACCCAGGAGAGAGACGAGTGTCCCATCACTTCCGACCATTTCATCACTTACTCAACGGGACCCAGGTCCTTCTCAATCTGCGCAAACACCTCCTTGCACCGGGAATAATTGGTCACGTCGCAGCCATATGCGAATGATTTGACGCCGATTTTCTCACACTCCGTTTTCGTGCCGGCTTGTCGTTCGGCATCGAGATCTAGCAACGCGACGTTCGCCCCGGTCTTTGCAAGCGCCTCTGCAATGACTTTCCCAATGCCTACCCTCCCGTCGGTTCACAAGATACAGGCACAATGATCTGGGCATCACTCACCCCGAGCAGCGCCTGTCACCACCGCTGTTTTTCCTTTGTTGAGTCCTACAAGGTTCTCGGGCAGGATCACCGAGTATGGATCGGTGTTGAGCGATGGGCGTGGCATATTCGGGCGGACTGACTCAATGTGTTAATTGCTGGCTGTTCTGCACACTTCCAGGGCCTAATTGATTACGAGAGGTATATACGCAATGGCCTAATCACACTTGGTGTTCATCATCTCTCCAAGGAGAAATGAGTCTGTGGGGTAGGCCCCGAACTTTCTACGTAGATAGTTGTGGCTGCAAGCACCGCCAGACCTCCTCTAGTGGGGTCGGCTGCACAAGGACCCTCCCGCACTGCACCCCTTCACCACCCTGTAGCTAAGCCATAACGGGTGTATGGTAAGTGGCGGTCCCTTGTCTTTGGTGGGCATTTGTAGCTCATCACTTGCTGCCCCAATGTTGAACAATGTAAGCCTCGCGTTCGATCCGTCCTCATAATTCTGTTCTCGGCCGGCGGGAAGGAAAAATTCGACAAAGAGGTTATTCATAGAATTCATGAGGATACAACTCTTAAACAATGTCGTTCTTCCAGCCCTTCCACATCTTTACCCCTTCGCCAATCCTAGGCTATGGCTTCGATCTGGACGAGTTTTGGCGGACCATTCGTGAGGCGCGACCGGCAGCCATCATTCTTGACTCTGGGTCGACGGACCCTGGTCCCTATCTTCTAGGCACAGGCAAGACTTTATGCTCCAGGAAATCTTACATCAGAGACCTCTCTCCGATTCTGGAGGCATGTTCAACCTACGAGATAAAGCTCCTCATAAGCTCTGCGGGAGGAGCTGGCACCAATCAACAGGTTGATCTGTTGGTCTCCATCATCCGCGAACTTTGCGAGCAGAAGTCATTCAGTTTCCACCTAGTCACCATCAAATTCAGAGACGATCACGATGCAACAGTATCTAAATTACGGGCGGGCGACCTGTCCTCTTGTTCATTAAGCCCTCCCTTGGAAGAAGCCGACATATGCAACGCCGTGACGGTGGTCGGCCAAATGGGAGCTGAGCCATTTCTCGAGATCTTAAAGGACCCTTCCGTGAATATCATTGTGGCAGGACAATCGTACGACCCTTCACCGTTTACAGTATTCTGTATATATCATGGTGTCCGGGAAAGCCCAGCCTGGTATGTGGGAAAGATTATAGAGTGCGGCGGCCTTTGTACCATCCCTAAAGGCCGGTCGATCCTGGCCACGATGTTCCAGGATAGTTTTATCCTAACTCTAACCGACCCCAGCCAGAAGTGCACCCCGGTGTCCGTAGCGGCACACACTTTATACGAGAAGACTCGTCCAGACAGACTGCCTGGACCAGGCGGGGTGCTATACCTTAACGAGTGTATATATATTCCATAGCTAGATGGCCGTAGCGTACTGGTTAAAGGATCAAAGTTCGTGCCCACTCCTATCTACTAAGTTAAACTCGAAGGGGCCACACACGTTAGCTTCCGAACCACCTTTATCGGAGGCATTCGAGATCCTATTCTCATCGCAGGCATCGACGAGTTTCTCGACACCGTGCGAAGCATCACTAAAGAGGCATTCTCAGCGCTCGCCACCAAAGCAGAACCCCAGATAATCTTTCATATCTACGGGAAAAACGCCGTCCCAGATGAGATGGAAATCGAGACCACGCTGGGGCACGAAATTAGGGTCTTGGGAGAAGTAGTGGCCGAGACTCAGGAGCTGGCCGATGCAATCGCCGGCTTCTCTCGCACGGTCCTTCTACACGGCGCCTACAAGGGCCAACTCGCCACGGGTGGTAATCTGGCGTCTCCATTGGTGCCACTGGAATCGCCTATGGGTCCCGTGTTCAAGTTCTCAGTCTATCACTTGATGAACGTACAAGATCTACTCGCCCTATTCCCCATCGAATACTTGTTCATTAGAGCGAAGAAGACCGCGGTGAAGAAGGCCCTCCTCGCAGACTCATCCTTCACGCAGAAGGGCCTTTCTACCAGCCTTGGAGTATTGCATAAGGAGATTCCTCCACCGACTGTCTCGGGGGAACCCGCGACGAGAGCACCTATAGATTCTTCTAGAGTTGGTGTGCCGCTGAAAGATATGGCGCGTGTGGTTCGGTCCAAGAACTCGGGCCCATTCGAAATCACCTTAGACGTTCTCTTTGGGAGTCAATGTTGGACTTCCAGCACGTTAAAAACTCCGGCATGCTCACCGCCGAGCTCGTTCAACGGCTCTATCGCCTCAAGTCGCCCGCAGATATCGTGACTTGTATGTTCTACGAGCCTGCCCTGGCGTGGAAGTGCACTTTCAAACGATACCAAGCTCAAGGAAGCGTTGGTGAGAGAGACACATTCGGGGCTCAAATGCATTCACCACTGCTGCAGATTGTGATCCCTCTGGCACGGGAGGTGAAGATGTAGCTAGGGTAATACTTGATCGGTAATAATCTTTGAATCAGAATGGACATTGACAAATGTCCGCCCGGCCCATTCTGTAGCTAAAATGGATTAAAACTGGAAAGTTGGGAGAACGGGTGACTTAGATGTCTCACAAGAGTGAATGCCAAAGATAAATATTGTGAATATAGCAATTTCTATACAAAAGCATAGCCTAGTATGTCTTTCTGGTCCTCCAAGTGCCCAATCCGTTCGATAGTCTCTTGCAGCCTCGGGGTCGGTTTGACCTAACCATGTTCCGCCAAAGAAAGAAACTTTGATTCGAGCTCTTCACTTTACAGTCGTCAGATTAATTTCGAGTAGCACGCAATATAGCAAATAGATTAAGAACAATAATAGGCGTTCACAACTCACCGAGTCAAAGTTCATCCGGGATCCCCCTTTACGACGTCGACCTCCCTTTCGATCCTCTGCCCTGTCCGGGTCACCACGATGACCCTTCCCAGCCACCTTTCAGGAAATTCATTCTCGATCTTCTCATCCAGCGTCATCTTGACCTTCTTCTGGAACTGACGTAGGTCCTGATCAAGCAATGCCTCCTCGGTGAAGTCGGTGATCTTCGCGCTGCCACGATGCGCCGCGACCGCCAGCACGAACCCCATTGAGAACTTACTCTGATGGACCGTCTCTGCCTTCTCTGACAGACTGAGGATCGCGATGGCGCTCTTGTACGTGAGAGCCTCGACCGTGGCGATGTCTACGGCCTTGATTTCCTCGGCCTGCATCAAAGCCAGCAGCGCGTCCACCGAGGGATGCGTGTGTCGGCACGATGCGTGCCATTTAAAGCTGGACCCCATCACCGACCACTTAGTACCCAGGCCTTATCGACGATCGACGGCTCCGAGTCCCGGCCTTGGGTTGGGGATAACGTGGCGACCATACCTCGGTCGCCTTCGAGAATGTCCTGGGGGCCCAGCAGCCCCGAGCCGGCCAGGTACGCGAATAGGACGCCGTCAGAGGCCGCCTTTGCAGTGTGAACCTGCTTCGAGTGCGTCGCGTTCAGTAGGAACTGCCACAGTCCTGCAGCTTGCGTCCCGGCAGTACCTACCGCCGAGAGCATGGTTGAAGCGTCGTGGCCTAAGAGGTAGGATGACGCCGCGGCGGCGCCAATGATTCCTGCCGTGGCCGTGGTGTGGAATTTCTGATCAAGAGCATAATGGTTGAGCTAAGGAGACAAGACGCGAACGCGGCGTACAGGATGGAGGTCGGAGGGATGAATAGATAGTCGAATAGGGGGACTCACTTCGTAGTAAGATTTACCTAGTCGTTCACCGAAACGACAGGCAAATTCATAGCCGACCACGATGATGTCTTTCCCGGTGGCGCCAGTCTCCTGAGCCACGGCGAGGGCGGCGGGAAACACGACGGTTGCCTGTATTGTCACGGTCCTTTATATCAGCGAATTCCTCTCAAAGTCTCCACTTCACCTTACCGGATGCATCATGCTGCTATTATGTAAGTCATCCTGCTCCACGACGTGTGAGCTTGCACCGTTGACTAACGCCGCGAAGATGGGGCTGGTGGTAAGGTCGGGAAACCCGACAATTTCGCACTTCCCCTTGGTCGGTCCCTGAGTCTTTATGAGATTGACCATCGATGTTACACTGATATGGCTGCGCCCAGCGAGGGCGGAAGCCAGCCAGTCCAGATAGAAGGATTTAATGCGGCTCACTACATCAGATGGAAGATCCGTAAACGTCAACGATGAGGCCCATGATGCCAGATTGAAGGCTGGTGTTCTAGGCACAGCGTTGCCGTTCTGCATGATTGTTCGGCCTAGATGGGAATATTTTAGAACGTAAGGAAAGAGATTAGTTTACAGCCAGGTCACTGTTAAGCTTTTGTGAAGGTGGATGCTGTGATATGACAGAGTTGTTGCGACACCTTCACCAGCTCTCCGATTCCTTTCCCGGTGATCTGTGCTCATACGGGCCGATGCAAGGAAACATGAGGGATCGACAAATCGCTCGGAGAACTTCCTCAGGTGCTCCGGATACGGAGAGGGCAATCTAAATCTCATAGCAGAGAAGTGGCTATCTCGATCCGACCTCTGGACCCCACGAGAACTCCCTAGGCAGCGGATGCCGGCCTTGTGGGGTATGGCCGGGGGTTATTGAGCCAACACCACCAGACACTGCAGACAGTGATTTACCATGAGATGGAAGATTTCACAAGGTAGTCCAGACATTCCCGATTCTCGGAAAGGCACAGTATCATATCTTTGACTGTTTCTCTCAATTCGAGGAGTCGAAACAGACAATCAGACCAATACACAGTGATAGTACTCTATCCAATATTTCAAGCCAAACTTCAGACTCAACATGTGTTGACAGGGTTGCAAGATAGCCACTGTGGCAAACCACCTGAGACGCTAGCTGTCACACTAATTGCGGCACTTACCTCAACAGCGTTGTTCCCACCGACCTACGACAGCATGGCGACGGAATAGGAGGTTTCAGGAACGGCCTTCGGAGCACAGGCCAAAGTGTATATAAACAGGCAGAGTCTCTCTGAATAGCCAGGGGGACAGAACACAATCAAGCAGATAGATCCACTCTTAATCTGTGTATAACAACGCCACTGCCTTTTCCCTGGAAGAGGCTGGATGTGCCATAAGCACCGATTCTAGCACCGCGGTACATGGCAGAGGTGGGTTCGGTTCCGGGCTCGAAGCGCCTCTCAACGCCGGCGGCACGCAGGACAGGCGACTCTTCCAGCAGTGTGTTGACCTTAGTCTCTTCGTTGGGGACGACGAAGTAGAACAAGCCACAGCGGTTCTGGGTACGCTGGTCCGCTGGGGGCTGGCAGACGCGGTGGATGGTGGCCTTGTAGTAGCCGCCAGCCCACCACTCCATCATCTCGTCGGCGTTGATGACGATAGCACCGGGCTTGTAGGGCACCCAGCGCCACTTACCCGTGAAGTGGTTCATGGGCTGGAGCGAGGCCATAGGCTGGCTGAACAGCATGGTCACGGAGCCGAAGTCGCAGTGGCCTTTGAGCCATACGCCGCCCGTCTTCTCTATGTCGCTCGGGTTATAGTCGTGGAAGTACATCATATAACGAAACCACGACTCGTCGAACGTCTCGTAGTTGTGATTTTCGATGAAGAAGTTGGCCGGTAGCTCCAGCGAGAGGGCAAACAGTGTCAATACACGGTACAGGATCAGCTTATGTACGTACTCGTTGAGCTTCTATACCTCAGGCCCAAAGGGTTGGAACGTTGACGGGTGCTCGCGGAGGCTGAGGTCGCGGTTCCAGTTGTACTGCTCAATCTGGTCTTTGACGCCCTGATCGATTGTCCAGTAGTTGCGCCAGCTTGAAGCCCTGGTAGCTGCCCTTCTGCTTCATCTGGCCCTCGAGCTTTCGTTTCTCCTCAAGGGGAGTCTTAGTGAGAACATGGTACCCGATATCCACCTGTCGGTCGATCTCTTCGATGGAAACCCATGGTTCTCGATCAGGAAGAACCCTTGCGTCCGCATGGCAAAGTTCAACTGTTTGGCCAGCGCCTGGATGGCCTTTGGGCCTTGGTCCCAGGTCGAGAAGTCAAGGTTGACGACTTCGGCATAATCGAGCTTCTCCGTAGTAGGCTTGACCGGCACGAAGTGCTCCACTTCGGGCAGTTTATTGGCGTGAGGCATGTTGTTATACACAGATTAAGAGTGGATCTATCTGCTTGATTGTGTTCTGTCCCCCTGGCTATTCAGAGAGACTCTGCCTGTTTATATACACTTTGGCCTGTGCTCCGAAGGCCGTTCCTGAAACCTCCTATTCCGTCGCCATGCTGTCGTAGGTCGGTGGGAACAACGCTGTTGAGGTAAGTGCCGCAATTAGTGTGACAGCTAGCGTCTCAGGTGGTTTGCCACAGTGGCTATCTTGCAACCCTGTCAACAGGCGTCCAGGAGGAATTGGTAGGTGGAATCAAGACCAAGCACTACAACTAAGGTAGGGCGCCTAGCTAGTGGGATGGAGTTGAAGTGACTCCCTCAACTTGTTCTGATGTAGTTGAGCGAGCAATCGTGCTGTGCGTGCGACATCACATTATACAGTACCTATTGAAAGTGGCAGGGCAGAAAAGGGAATCCGTCACATGAGAGCGTCACATGATCGCCAAGGACAGAAAAGAGGTTTACTACTTCTCCTACTGTTCTTAAACCCTCTCTTCCTTCTAGTATAGACAGCACAATGAGGCACTCATAACTTCCTGAATAGGATTGCCCTCTCGATCTCCTCCTTTGCATGCCGTGATATTACAGAGTCCTTCTTTTCGATATATGCTTGATAGTGGCAAACCACCTGAGACGCTAGCTGTCACACTAATTGCGGCACTTACCTCAACAGCGTTGTTCCCACCGACCTACGACAGCATGGCGACGGAATAGGAGGTTTCAGGAACGGCCTTCGGAGCACAGGCCAAAGTGTATATAAACAGGCAGAGTCTCTCTGAATAGCCAGGGGGACAGAACACAATCAAGCAGATAGATCCACTCTTAATCTGTGTATAACAACGCCACTGCCTTTTCCCTGGAAGAGGCTGGATGTGCCATAAGCACCGATTCTAGCACCGCGGTACATGGCAGAGGTGGGTTCGGTTCCGGGCTCGAAGCGCCTCTCAACGCCGGCGGCACGCAGGACAGGCGACTCTTCCAGCAGTGTGTTGACCTTAGTCTCTTCGTTGGGGACGACGAAGTAGAACAAGCCACAGCGGTTCTGGGTACGCTGGTCCGCTGGGGGCTGGCAGACGCGGTGGATGGTGGCCTTGTAGTAGCCGCCAGCCCACCACTCCATCATCTCGTCGGCGTTGATGACGATAGCACCGGGCTTGTAGGGCACCCAGCGCCACTTACCCGTGAAGTGGTTCATGGGCTGGAGCGAGGCCATAGGCTGGCTGAACAGCATGGTCACGGAGCCGAAGTCGCAGTGGCCTTTGAGCCATACGCCGCCCGTCTTCTCTATGTCGCTCGGGTTATAGTCGTGGAAGTACATCATATAACGAAACCACGACTCGTCGAACGTCTCGTAGTTGTGATTTTCGATGAAGAAGTTGGCCGGTAGCTCCAGCGAGAGGGCAAACAGTGTCAATACACGGTACAGGATCAGCTTATGTACGTACTCGTTGAGCTTCTATACCTCAGGCCCAAAGGGTTGGAACGTTGACGGGTGCTCGCGGAGGCTGAGGTCGCGGTTCCAGTTGTACTGCTCAATCTGGTCTTTGACGCCCTGATCGATTGTCCAGTAGTTGCGCCAGCTTGAAGCCCTGGTAGCTGCCCTTCTGCTTCATCTGGCCCTCGAGCTTTCGTTTCTCCTCAAGGGGAGTCTTAGTGAGAACATGGTACCCGATATCCACCTGTCGGTCGATCTCTTCGATGGAAACCCATGGTTCTCGATCAGGAAGAACCCTTGCGTCCGCATGGCAAAGTTCAACTGTTTGGCCAGCGCCTGGATGGCCTTTGGGCCTTGGTCCCAGGTCGAGAAGTCAAGGTTGACGACTTCGGCATAATCGAGCTTCTCCGTAGTAGGCTTGACCGGCACGAAGTGCTCCACTTCGGGCAGTTTATTGGCGTGAGGCATGTTGTTATACACAGATTAAGAGTGGATCTATCTGCTTGATTGTGTTCTGTCCCCCTGGCTATTCAGAGAGACTCTGCCTGTTTATATACACTTTGGCCTGTGCTCCGAAGGCCGTTCCTGAAACCTCCTATTCCGTCGCCATGCTGTCGTAGGTCGGTGGGAACAACGCTGTTGAGGTAAGTGCCGCAATTAGTGTGACAGCTAGCGTCTCAGGTGGTTTGCCACAGTGGCTATCTTGCAACCCTGTCAACAGGCGTCCAGGAGGAATTGGTAGGTGGAATCAAGACCAAGCACTACAACTAAGGTAGGGCGCCTAGCTAGTGGGATGGAGTTGAAGTGACTCCCTCAACTTGTTCTGATGTAGTTGAGCGAGCAATCGTGCTGTGCGTGCGACATCACATTATACAGTACCTATTGAAAGTGGCAGGGCAGAAAAGGGAATCCGTCACATGAGAGCGTCACATGATCGCCAAGGACAGAAAAGAGGTTTACTACTTCTCCTACTGTTCTTAAACCCTCTCTTCCTTCTAGTATAGACAGCACAATGAGGCACTCATAACTTCCTGAATAGGATTGCCCTCTCGATCTCCTCCTTTGCATGCCGTGATATTACAGAGTCCTTCTTTTCGATATATGCTTGATAAACTTATGGAATAACTAACCAATCCAGTATTTTACCGTCTTTTGGATCACGACAACCCATCGTGTCACATACGTAGCCACTTGTCGCCTCTGATACTGATCTCCTGGTCATCAAGGTGTCACTGTCCAGATCCCATCCCTCCCAGAAGCGGGTGCTCCTGGCATCCACTGATCCGTAATCGGAGTCCAAGACTTGGATATTGTACTATAGAGCTGATTTTAGTAAGTAGGTCTCGTCCCGCCCCCTGGTTGGTTAATGATAAGGGGGAACCAATCACAACAAATAGTGGGGTAATTGGATTGCTGTGCGTGTGGGGTAGTACGAAAGGGGCGAGGAGAGAATCCCATCCTTAGGTTAGTCCTCCTCGACCTCGGATAGGTAGTGGAAGAGAAAGCCGGAGAAGACTAGTTAAGCCACGGGCAAAAGTTGTGCAGGGCAAAGGCCGTGAAACCACCGTTGGTAGTGGTCTGAGTTGCTCTGCCAGAATGGCTCTGTAGCTTGGGGGAAATTCAATACCCATTATGCTTTGGAGAACAGTCCCCATGACCTCGTGGCTGGCATTGTGACTTTGTACTGCCACCATCAGAAGCAGAAGCAGACCCGGTGGATAACGTCCAGAACCCGGTGAGTGGCTGATAATCGTCTCTTCAAGTGAGATCGTCTTCTTCACACCTCACACTCTCTCAGAGGCTTGTCTGTTTCTTTGTAGGTTCTGTCCTTTCCAAGGACTCATTGCATTCACTAACAACCCGAGCCTCTGACTGAGAGTGCTCCAGCATATGAGCGATGGCCAGCACAGCAGTCCTGAACTATGGCACCTTCGGCTGGTTGACTGGAGTCGTCACAGCCCAGGGATCCGTGCAATTCAGGAACGCGCCCTACACAAATCGGCCGTCGAGATGGTAGCATTCCTCGCCCCTGGAGTGGCTCCTCAACGACTCCTCCAGCGATCCCTACGATGCGACGCAATGGGGGGCCATGGGGCCACAAGATGCGAGAGGTAGGGACACAATTCGTACTGTAGAAGGTCTTGACGAGAATCAGAGGGATGATTCGGGTACCTTTGAATATCCTCGTATGGGTCGACCACTGCTCTATTCTGCAGTAAGTAGAAGACACACAAGCATGTTGGCAGCTCAACAATGCCACAAACGTGGTACTCCACTCATCGGCTAGCTGTGCGGATGTGGCGTGGAGTAAGCGGATGATAGAGGACCGCGGCGAGGCCGGCTGAGGATAAACTTTGTATGGTAGCCGGGGTCCAAACCTCGGAAAGATGAGGATGGAATGGCGTCAGTCAACTAGAACTCACTTAAATCTGGCTCAGTTGACGCTTCGTAATGACTGTTTCCCTTTGATGACTGTCATAATTCAAGACTCGGCCTCATAGCCTCGGGACAGTGCTTTCAAGGGCTCTTCGCCCTAGACACCTTTAGGGAATGTACTTATAGCCCAATCGTGTCGCCGGCTCAGCGCTGCGAAAGCGTGGGAAAGCGAACATTCAGGACCGCTTGAAGGCGAGCCTTAAACCCAAGGCGTTGAGATCCTGTGCCATGATGTTCGTGTCTATCGAGGACGGGTCAGAAATGAGTTCGAAAAACAAAGACCAAGGTCGGGAAAAACTTACAGGACCACACCCACTTTTGCATTAGCATACGATAGAAGACTAGCGGGGGCGAGGCTGGGTGGACTTGCGCGACGTCGCAAGGGACACCCTGATCGCCCACTTCCTCAAAAATCTCCTGGAGCAGCCCATCCAGAGCGCGCAGGTTCTCGGCAAAATCGCCTTGCGTAGGAAATTGACATGTAGGGTCCGCGCAGAGGTTGAGCCACCAGGATAGGAGCAGAGCTATTTAGGACCAACAGTCAGTTGCGTCGTGATTGGAATCAAAGAGCATGAAAAAAGATTACGACGTACCGCTTTCATATGCCGTTACGAGAACGTGGCCGCCAAACTCCAAAGCTGCTGTACGTTGCAAATGGGCGATACCTAACTTAGCACGGACCAGCCACGAGCTTGCCGCATACTTGACAGCCTTGAGAATTTCCCATTGTGGTCGGAATGGAGGCAATGGCGTTTGGCACTGCGGATTTCTAGCGAGTCTCTTCAAGGTTTGCAACTCCGGACCCATGTACAGATGGTAATAGGCGGAGCCAAGTAGGGACAGGCAGTCAACCATCAATGGATCCCCATACTTGCTAGGAACGTTCTCGGCGTGAGGGTGACTTCGCCAAAGGGTTTCCCAAATCCGTAGACTTCGTTCCATGTTGGAGACATACTCATTGCCGAAGGAAGGGATCACTCCACCTGAATACCGCTCCTGTCCACAAATCTGCATCAGAAGTGATCCAACCACGGTGAGTAGCCCAAATGAACTGATCGGGGTGGTGAAAGACTCTCCGTGGAAAACCTTGTGAATCACTTGAACCACGCTGAGAGGGCGGTACGATTGTGTATCTTTGCTGCGCAGCCATGAAGTGGCCGAAGAGGCTCGCCACATGCCATCATTGCCTGGCACGGGGAGTTCAGCCATGGTCTGTGGCGGCACCAGGCAAATAGCCTCAGGGTCAAACACCAAGATGATACTATTCAAAATGCATGTCCAGCAACCCACCCTGAACACAGCATCGTCTGGTCAGAAGAGCTTTCGAATTGCATCAGAAGGCGACTTAATACATACCTGCTTAACGTCTCGACGTAGATCCACTGATCCCATTCTGAATACGCGGAAGCCCGGATGTCCCGAGAATCGGCTTCTGCCACTCGCAGAAGCTACGAAATGTCAGTGTAGGCTCGGTAGAATGTTAAAATACGGCAGTAATCAAGGCGGAAACATCTCAACTTACATCTGACAGGAGTGCAAGGTGACGCTGAGCCTGTCGGAGGTAGCAAGGATTTTCGGAGAATGCTCCATATTGCACACAAAGCAGAGAGGCTTGGATGGCCCATAGGTCGTGATGGGAGCTTTGCAAGAGATTTGTCTCATACTAGTACCTGTGTCAGGAGGGTTGATGAGCCGCAACAGGGAAACTTGCCTGGGAGAGGAGGTGGCAGCATGCCTCATAGGCTTTGCACGCCCGATCGTGTTCCGAGAGGTAGCATCCTCCGATGGCCAGCATGGCTAGTAACAACGGTCCTGGAGACATCAATGAACCAAGGTCACGCGATAGGGATTGCGCACTCACCAGGAGTGGTGGAGATGACGAAGGTTGGTCGATGAACGATAGGTGTATGGGGATCGAAGTATTCAAAATAGGCATTCAGCCATCTGGAGATGCGTGAGCGCGTGGGAATGCTTGCTTGGAGATCGGTTGCCAAGGCATTGGCTTTGACGAATGCTCGTTGAACAGTTGCAGCATCTTCCTCTGAGCAACGAATTGCTCTAAATGCATAGTTAGCCGCTTGGTACTCAGGCCGAGCTTCGGGAGCGTCGTTTGGTGACGGCGTCGGCGTTACGTGACGTGTTCGGCTTGAGAGAATTTCGGTGGCGATCGAGAATCCTCGTCCTGTTTCGGGTACTTCTGATAGTAGTTCGATAGCAGGGCTGAGCCCGAGGGCATCGAAGCTGAATTCAGGAAGCAGAGCGTCCTCCAAGAAGGTGAAGTCACTGGGGTTAAAGTTGGGCAAGCTCGCGAGCCCATTTTCCTGCGAGACTATAGCATCGAGCGGCTGGTTAATGAAATTGCCCGAACCGAAGTATAGTGGATTAGGGAAAGCGGTGACCGGTTGGGAAATTGTCGCCTCCAGCTGTGTAGCGATAGTATTACAAAGCATCACTTGATCCGAATCAGGCTGTCCTTGACCCAGCGGGTGTCGCTGAACACCTGGCGTGGGCTGCTGGTGTTGGGCCTGCTGGCGAACTTCTGTGCCATGATCCAGCTGGCGTTCAGAATAACATAGGATGAATGAGTCCGGAGGTGTATCGTGTTCCACTGTGGGAACAGGTTGCTGCTCGTTTCTAGACCCGGCTGAGGCTGCTTCGAAAGACTCACTGTCAATCATGTGGTGTGTAGCTGAGGACCTTTTGCATGGTTAACCGAATTCTGCTCCTGGAAACCAAGAGCTGCGACTCACATAGACGGCAGACTTACGGTAGCCTGATCCCCCGCCATGGTTTCCTGTCGTAAAGATGCGGTAATCCCGTCGCTAACGGCTGGGATGCCTTTCTCCACGGCATCGCGATTGAGGTTTCCTGCACATTTCTTCAGGTGCCTTTGAAGCACGTCGGCTCTTACAAAGGTGGTTCCACAAGCCTGACAGCCAAAGGATTTCCGATTTTCGTCTGCCACAGGAACCATTAGCGAAAACTTGTCCTGCTTCTGCGTTGCACCGGAGTCGGGTACTGACGAGCCGCGACGTGCCGCTTGAGATGTTCGGCTCGAATGAAGGCTTTCTGGCAGAACTTGCATACGTGCGGACGAGGGCGGCTCTGGTCGTGGTTGTGACTTTCACCAGCTGTTGTCGCAATTCAGCAAGCTGCCCCGTGGATGAGTAGAGAGTCATACTATGGTTTGATTTGCTGATGGATCTGTGGGACCTCTCAATGCCCGATCGCTGCCTCGGTAGCAGCGTGCTCATGATGTGGATATAGGTTTTGCTGTTATGCAGAGATGGACGAAATTAAAGAGGTAACAGACAACTACATTACGGGATGCAGTATGCAGGACGGCTTGACAGAGGTCTGGATCTCAAATACACCGTGTTGGGAGGGATAGAGGGGCAGAAGAAATCACAAGAAGAGGGGAAAGTCTGAGGGAGGAAAGCTTGCTGGCGTTAGAAGGGACTAGCGGGACTAAAATCTGGATATGTACTTGGTACAGGTACGCATCCGACGCACAGGTAAGCCTAGCAACACGAAGTCGGGGGATAATCATCTCTCCACTGGAACCCCTTGCGAGATCCAGAGAAACAAACCTATTAAGCAGGGCCAGGGCCTCAGGCTCCTGGGGCTCCACCTCCAACGCCCAGCCTTAGGCGAGTTAGGCTGCGCTAGGGGCCCGAGGCCAACCGGGTTTGCTCCCCTGCCCCTAGAGATTGCAGGATCCAAATTTCGTTAGATACCTAACTTAGTAGCAAAGCCCCAGGGTCAAGGCCCCCCAAAAAGGTTTATCGCGCCACTTCTTGGTTTACAGCTTTCCCTTAGCCCTTACTCCGGCACTACCATGCCTTTTTTTGGCCAGATACTATGTTTACCTGGTGACAAGATGCCGTTGGGATCAAGATTCTCCTAGTTCCCAGTCAGCTCAGCATGCTTCACCATAATACAGGCATCGTTGGTGCTTACCTTCAGCTCTTGAATGAAGCGACGGTAAGAGTGATTGTTGAAGTCGTACATGTCAGCTACAACGTCTGCACGGTACTGGACCGTCAACTCATCTTCGAACTCTCTGATGCAAGACTTACCCATGTGGTTGATATGGCTGCGATATTTGCTGATCCCACGCTTTTTCCCTTCCTCGGACACAGTTCATGAAAGATGCGGTCCACGGTCTGCCTCTCCCCTGCATCCGCCTTGTTGAAGACCGTCATGTTGATGAGGATCATCGAACGGGGGTACACATGACCGCCACAATAGACATCGAATCCGCGACCCTCGGCTATCCTCCGTACAGTGTTGAACCATCCCAGAACCTGCTTGCCATCGGCTGCGAGGATGGGTGAAATGTCAGTATGAGCCCCCACCCCGACGCCGCCCTTGGGATTGCGATATTGCGAACCACGGGATAGTTCTGCAAAACGTTCCGACGTCGAAGTTCGAACAGCACATCAATCATCGGCGCGATATCTTCCGGCTCGTCCGCGAACAATACGCAAGACATGAACGTTTGTGGCTGGGGTAATAGCCAGATCCCGAGTTTCGTCAACACCCTGAGGTTCCTCTGAAGGAAGAGGCCATCAATTGAAAGGGAGAAGCTCAACTTGGACGTGTAAGCGACTTTGGCATTGCTGATGCCAAATTGTCCCGTTCAGATGACATCCCCATTGGTGAGGACGACTTTTATGCCGCAAATATTCTGGTGGTGGTCCCCCAGGGGAGTGTAAGTAAACCCTCAGTCGACAGTCTGTCACTAATATCAGCGTATCTCTATCACTTGTATAGCTTAACGAACTGACTTATATTGCCTAAGACACTTCCCCAGCCCAAAGAAGGGACGCTTGGCTATAGACCAAGGTTGTTAGCTCGGTAATGATTGTATAGATTAAAGAAGGTGACACCGGGTTCAACGATTGTATAGGTAAATTTTTCATTAATCTCGAGGATCTTGTTCATTAGATGTAGATCAAAACCACAGTCCCCTAAACGCGTGGCGCTAGGCTTCTATACCTTAGGAATATGTCAGCGGGCATACACTCACCCAGAGAGCATAGATTAACGTGAGCATAGACTTTTGCCGCGCGAAGATGTCTATAGCGGTATTCGGTAAGTATTAGCAACCCTGAGGACACCTTAAAGCTTATGCACTAAACCAGGACTGTCAGTACATCAATATAAGGTTCACTCAGTGGTTTACAATCATGCCCTTACCAGACGGTGGCACTTGGGGTGTTTCGCCTTTCCTCTTCCCATTGCTCGAATAGATCGATGGAGTCTACAAGACTGGCCCTAGTATGAACGTTGACCCCACTAAGTATACCGGGTACTCGCCAGTCTGTCTAAGGCTTCTTTAAAGGTAATCTCGTCGATCTTAGAAGCCAGGGCCGACGACAATAGTTTAAGAACGTAATTTCTAAATAGATCTTCATGTTTACTCTATAGATCAGGGTCTAAATACAACACTGGTAAATTAGACGATTTCATAACTACTCAAGCACCCAGGACAAGAAGGTAGACCTATAGAATACTAGTGTTAAGCTTACAAAAGCACAAAGTGGCGTGAGGCGAGTCTCGATTGTCACTAATTCACCAGACCCGTCACTCCTCGAGGCGCCCTCGAAGCGCCGGGATTGGGGCATCCTCTCCAGCATTCCTAATTAGTGAAGAAATTACCTCGTACGGGGTCTAGCTCCTTGTCCTATTGTTAGCTAGACCTCTGTCCGGCTGACGCACTATTTACCAGTGCAGAAGGTACAAGGCACAAAGAATGTGGGGTACGGGAGTCTTGACAGCATCGGGAAAAGAAATCATGCTCAGCGTGGGGACCGAAGTGGGTAAAACAGCCTTCAATGGCGCTGTTACCCCACAAGATTTCAATGGCTCTGATACCCCACAAGCTTTGAGAAGTCTCGCCAGCTATTCGCACGTGACTCTGTCTACGGGGCAATGTATTGATTATCGTTCTGTCCCCAATAACAGCTTGCCTTTCCTTCAGACCTAGACTTCCCCCATCTCTCCCCACACCATGCCAATGGCGACTAAGTAAAATACTAAAGTTCAACACAAGTTTAGCGCGCAGTGGGAAGTTGGTCATGACACGTTTCGATTGGTTTGCTAAAAGCCCTCACGGAGTAAGGATTTACATTCCTCGTAAGCGTTCTCATCTACCGAGCATTCTATAATGGTTGTGAAGGTGCGAAACGGGAAGAAGTGGTTGAACTTGAGGCCTACTTGGTGCAGAACGTGTTCGAGCTCCTGATAGGACCTTTCCTTGACACCAAAAAAGAAGAACGTGCACCAAGTCATCAAGTTGGCGAGATCCGGCAGCCTCGGCTGTCGCTTAGGGGCGAGTTGGGAGGGAGGCTCTGTTATCTCCTAGGCTGGGTCAACTACCGAGCTGGACGTAAGAATCTCGTTGATCACCAGCCTCACTCCCTGGGTCTTCTTCATGGCGTTTAAGATATATCGTAGCTTGGGATTCATCCTGAGAATGTCAAAGCCGATATCTCCCGGACCACGGCCAACGTCAACTACATGTGCTTCTGGTCTCTCATGCCATGGGTAGGCATTCAGCAGCGCGGGCTGAATAATTCTTTATAGAGCCGCTCATTAGAGATCGCGAGAGATGCTTTCGATGGCTTCAAAGGCTGGCCAATTGATCAAGCGCTCCGAGTCGTCGAATGGTGAAGATGCTTTGGCATCTTACAGCTGAGGGTCTCCGAGTTTCTGCTGTTCAACTTCGTTTTCAAGCTTTGCCACGTTTTCCTTGAGAGACTTGAGTAGATTCTGAAGAAATGGCATGTTGAACTTCCGTGGCACGCTCCAATCACCCTCAGAGATGAGAGTTTCCTTGAATTGTCTTTTGCTGCTTTATAAACTTCTTGATGCTGCAGGACAACTAAGAATGCAGTGATCTCTGAGGTAGCTAGTGGGGTATGGGTACGATCCATTTTCTCCATGTCTCCGCACCATGGCGACCTCAGAGAGACTGGAAGGATACCGTGTATGTTTATTTTCGAGTAGAACCTCGATAGTTTCGACATGTGCACAGTTGCCGATTGTCCAGATATTGAAGTTACCTACTAGTACTGTTCTATTACCAACCTGTGATACTTGCCAGGGTGCCTTTTGAGAGGTTTAGTGTGTTCTCAGACCTGTTTCCTTCTATCAACGAGAAGACTCCGCCCTGGTGGTCAGCCAGCGGTACTCCTTGCCAATTTCAAAAACACCAAAGTGGCAAGATGAAGGTGACTATCGTCGGTGCCGGTCTGGGTGGCCTCGCTTGCGGCATAGCTTGTCGGCGACAGGGATACGATGTCTTGATCGTAGACCAGGTCCCGAAATTCCTTCGACTCGGCGACAGCATCGGATTTGGTTCCAACTCCGCAAGGCTTTTCTACCGCTGGGGCGTGGGGGAGAGGATGGAGGCTATATCCAGTGATATGCAAGAAATGCGCATCTACAACTTCGATTCTTCTGACAAGCTGCTCGGCGTCGACAAGCAAATCGGCACGTCCCAAGAGAAGTATGGTTGTCGCCAGCTAATCGGGCACCGCGGAGACTACCATATGATCCTATACGAGTTCGCCCTCCAACAAGGAGTCATGATACGGATGGGAGAGACGGTAGATACCTACGATGCTGCAAAGCCCAGCATCACCCTCGCCTCCGGTGAAGAGGTCATTTCAGATGTGGTCATCGTGGCCGACGGTGTAAAAAGCAAAGGACGGACAGTCGTGTTAGGCTATGAGGATAAGCCTCTGCACAGCGGATATGCCATCTACCGATCCTTCATGGACGCTGACCTCGTTCGCGACGACCCTCTAATCAGCAAGTTCCTTCAAGAGGGCGATCAACTCAGACTCTTTCTGGCACCAAATATGCATGGCTTCATCACGACTCTACGCAATGCCAAAGAGATCAACGCTGTCTTGACGCACAGGGACATTGGGAATGTCGAAGAAGGCTGGACGAAACCCGGATCCAGGGAAGACGTTCTGGCTCTTCTTGACGGCTGGGACCCGGCGTTTAGGCGCGTGTGGGAGAAGATCCCGAATATCATCGACTGGAAGTTGGTCTATCGTCCTTGCCTTGGCAAATGGGTCGCCGATACTGGCCTGGTGTCTTTGATGGGTGATGCCGCTCACCCTTTCTTGCCCACCTCCGTACAAGGAGCCAGTCAAGCCGTTGAGGACGGGGCCACGATAGCCAAGTGTCTTTCGAAATGCAACGGCAATGTCCCTCTTGCTCTACACACGTATTTCGAGATCCGACACGACTATGTAGCCGAGGCACAGGCAACGGGCATCAAGCAGAGAGATACTTGGCATAACCTGCACAGCGACGACTCCAAAGAATTCAAAGAGTCCTTTGACATCAATGCCGTCTCACAGAGCAACTTGTACTTGTGGGCTAACGATGCTGAGAAGGTAGTGGATGAGAAGTGGGATGAGATCTCTAAAAGGGTCGAGAGCCGATTGAAATCCAAGGGTGTGTGAAAGGTACAGGTGGGCTGGTTGGTAGTAGTGGTATTCTCTAGACATCATGAGGTGGAAAGAAATCTTTAGCTTGTCACCGTGAATTTCAAGCCTCAAATACACTGTTATCGCCAAACCCCTGTTCCTTCAAGTCCCTCTTCCCTGCTCCTTGGCCGTTTATGCAGCCGTGAACCCTCCATCGACCTAAGGCAATATCAGCAGGGAGTCGCAAATGGAGACCGAATGCTTACTGCCAAATTTGAGCCAGTGATATAGGATGCCATGGGACTCGCTAGGAAGGCTACACTGTCTGCGACTTCATCCGGTCTGCCCACTCTTCCCATCGGGGTTTTTTCGATAATGGGTGTCAAATGCTTATTTGCAATCGCCGTGGGTGTTTCCCGGCCCAGATCCGTGGCTATTATACCCGGCGCGACGCAATTGATGCGAATTCCCTGCCTGGCAAAGTCGATTGCCTCCGCCCTCGTGAGGCCCAGAATCGCATGTTTAGAGGTAATGTACTACGCCGTCCTCATGAATCTTAGGCCGCTTACGAAGGGAGACAAACTCACGGGCGCAAGAAGAGGTAGCGCGATGGTCGAAACCATAGATCCAATGTTGATAATTGATCCTCGTCTAGGTAGATTCCAGGGTGTTATTAGCTGGCTTCCGATGGGGGATTGAGAAGGAAGATTTCTGCTATTACGTACTCGCCATTGACAAGCTCTTGCTTGAGCATCTGCTTCACAGCAGCTCTTTGCAGCCGCCAGGTTGCTCGCACATTAACTGACTGAACCTTGTCAAACACATCCAATGGGGTGTCCTGGGACGTCGCGAAAGGGCTGGGTATACCAGCACAGTTGACCAAGTAGGAAAGTGTTTTGAACTTTTCGACCGTTTGCCAGACGATTTCCTCAGGCGTATCTTCTTCAGTCAAGTCCATTTGTACGATGAGGACCGTGGCTGAGGGCATCTTATCGAGAATTAGTCTCTTTGTCTCATCAAGTCCCTTGCCATCAAGGTCCACGAGCGTGAGACTTGAACATCGAAAGTCCACGAATCGAAGGGCAATGGCCCGTCCAATTCCTCCTGCTGCACCTGTCACGATGGCGGTACTGCGAGAGACCTCAGTATGTCGTTCATGTCAAAAGCTTCCAGCAAAACACCTACCCAGAGAGCTCCATGGTTCTTCAACGTTTCGAAAAGCAGTTTGTATCTTGCATGTACGTCTTGCTCAATGTTACTCTTTTACTTCAGGTCTATTGACTATGTAATCAAAGACCAACTTCCGGGTGGGGACTCTATCTCGCTCATGGGTGCTCTCTCCAGCACGGTACCCCACGGAATGCACTTAGCCGCCTGAGGCTACTTCGGATAGAAGGTAACTGATTATTATTTACCCTACCAGAGAGGCTTTGGGTTGAAAACTCCCCCTACCCCTCTTTCAGGGTTTTGCCATCAAGTCTTTCCAGATCTTACGGGTATCTAATGACTCCACAATCTAGACTCCCTCTCTATATGCCGTGTTCCCGACTTCTGTGTCGGATCTGGTGAAGTCTTCGATTCCACAAACCCCAAAAACATCTCGAGTGCCTCCAGCCCCACCTGGAACAGGCTTCTTGATTTCTATCTGTTTCAGCTCCTCCATGGCCTGCTTGGTGGAGTTATAAACTGCCGTCAAGGCCACAATGGGCTAGATTTGGATTTTGAATCCCAACTGTATCGCTTCCTCGGCACTGATGGTCGGGGTGAGTCCTCCTTCTACAGAATTGATCAAACACGGCGTCTGTGCTTCGATGCGACAAATTTCTTTTCCTTGCTCTTTGGTCGTGAATCCCTCGAGTGATACCGCATCATCACCCGCCTCAACGGCAGCCTTCAGCCGCCGGACAGCTTCATCGAACCCTAGGGACTGCAGAGAGTCGGTCCTGGCAACTGAGACGATATCTCGGCCGGCCTCCTTCCTCGCCCTTGCGGCGGCGCGGATCCGGACCACAAACTCGTCTAGGGACGCCAGCTGCTTGTTTTTCAGGTGACCACAGCGCTTAGAAGAGGCCTGGTCCTCGATGTGCAGTCCGGCCACGTTGGAGTTAATGTATTTGCGTAATATTAGTGCGACAGAGAGGGGTGCGCTAAATCTAGTGTCCGCGTCAGCGATCAGAGGAATCGAAGGGTCCAGAGATGCTATCATGTCTGCGTTGGCATGCATCTCCGTCAAGATGATCAATCTCAGATCGGCCGACCCCAGACGAGTGGCAGAAGTGCCCGCTCCGGTCATGTGTAAACAATTCAAATCCCACTTGGAGGGAAATTCGTGCTGTCAGCCCATCGTAGATACCGGGGCAGACGACGATCTTTTCGGAGTCGTTCAACATTTCTCGCAAGCAAGCAGCTACCGGTCGCCATTGGGGCTTTGTTCCGTTTTGAGCGTGAGATGTCATGATTCTTTGCGGATCGAGGATAGGTTGGTCGATTTGGCAAGGCTGGGTATCCTGGTTCAAGCCCGAAGGTTATGGACTGTGCCTACGGAAATCTACCCTCATTGACCCCATGCTCGGCACTATTTCCCCGGACGAGGCATCGAGAAGTGGGACTCGGGAAAGGAGTGGGGAATCTAGGTCCCCTTCGGGCCCGAGAGGCCTCCTCCCCACAAGACCTGACAGCTTGTAGCTGATCGCATGATTGCAGGCAAAAGATCGTTGGTCATCCTGATCACGCAGTCCTTTTAGATCTAACAAGTGTAGGTAAACTCGAGAATATCATTGTTTTACTTCTTTGGAACGTTGCTTCGATAGATCGATTATTTTTTCATTGAACATTTTGCAATTCTCCCACATTCCAATCAAGTTATCAATTACAGGAGTCGAAGACACAGAATATGGCCATCACCATGGATTCATTGGGAACACCTCATCACAAGATTATCATAGTCGGTGCCGGCCCAGTTGGGTTGACCATAGCGATCAACCTTGCACGATTGGGTGTGAATGCGGTGGTACTGGAACGAGGAGATTTATGTCGACCAGCCACCACGTGCTACGTCCTACCAACCATGTGTCCTGGCAGAGATGCAGGAGACTGGGGTCTTGGAAGATGTGAAGGAAAAGTCGACGATTAACAATGTCTTATCCTACTGGATCGGAAAGGGTCCAGAGAAGAAGCGCGTTGCATATGTCGAAAAGCGCGAAGGAGGTGAAATGTTCCCATCAGGAATCAACTGCGGCCAGCCAATTCTAGCAGCAACTATCCTCGAGCATCTGTTGACGCGCTATCCTGACTATACCCAAGTCCGATTCAACCAAAACGTGGAGACGATCAGCCAGTCTGCCTCAACACTCACCGTCACCTGCCGAAACCCCCAGACCGAAGAGGTAACGACTTATACCAGCGAATGGCTGGTCGGTGCAGAAGGTGCAAGTAGTACGGTACGTAAGCTGCTCGGTATCGAGTTCGAGGGCTTCTCCTGGCCCAAAGAGGACTTTTGCGCTTCCAACCTTTCGATATCCTTTCAAGAAGTACGGCTTTACTACTGCCAACCTTATCCTCGATCCCGTACACTAGGCAGTCGTCACAGGACTTTGGAGGTGCGCGTTTGGCGTTAGGGCTGGCATGACCAACGAGGAGATTCGTGCTGAACTGGACGACCACTATAAACATATTTTGCCCGGCTGGGGCGAGGAAGAGTACGAACTGGTTCAACTCAACCGATACAAGCCTCATCAAAGATGTGCGGCTAGTTATGGAAAGGGTCGCTGCTTTCTTGCTGGGGATGCTGCTCACGTAAGTAAGCACTGTCACTCTCTCTCTATTGTTCACTAATAAAGCGTAAGAGCAACAATCCTATTGGCGGCCTGGGTTTGACGACTGGTCTTTTAGATGGTGAGCTCCTCTCCTGAGTTTAGTTAAGAAAATCAAGGTAAACTGAAACCAATAGCCGGTCCATTGGGAAGGGCTCTAGGAGCCGTGGTTAACGGGAGAGCACCAGAAGAGATCTTGGATACTTGGGCCGAGTCACGGCGTTCTAAATGGTTGTCTTACACCAACGAGTTCTCGATTGAGAACAAAAGAATGGTGCAGAGAGGTGGCTACAGCGAGGACCCGGCCGGAATTTAGAAGATCGATGAAGTATCTGCCGCCCACGGAATGGACCAATGGCTTCGAAAGGCCACTCCAGAGAAGAAGGCGGCGGATGAAGCACTCTGGAAGGCTTTCGAAAACAAAGACGTGCAGCTCGCAGATCGAATGAAACAATGGGAAATAGCCATGGATCCCTTGTGGATGTCAAAGTATGAGGATCCCGAGGTCGTCAGAGCCCGTATGGCACTCCGTCCCGGGGCCTTGAATCAGGCGGTACTGGCAGCTTTGTAGATCCAAGACCCAGAGAACGCAAAATTTGGTAGATGAGATTACCCCTCCTAGCTGGAGGACCACAATCGGTTCGTCATTGAGCTATCTCCGTGCTCACGAGAAGGTGACATGACGGCCTTTGCTCTAGCCCCAGCAGATTCAACCATTCTGTATAATCTAGAGGCCTTGGAGTGTTTTTCGCTTATAGACCTCGTATTTGGCGCCATAGTGGAGGGAAAGGTGAACGAAGGGAGAAGGACAAAGACGTAAAATTGCCGACTAAGTCGAGGGTGACTCGAGAATTGATTTCGCCCACTGTTGGGGGCTATATTAGCTTAGTCATGATTCCTGGCAAATGTCAGATCTTTGTCATTCTGGCTCTTCACATCGTGGATGTCAATCGTGAGGATTGATATTTTTCCACCGCCGCCCATGAGTCTTTGAAATGGATCTTAAAGACTATTTAGGTCGAGGGCGTTGAGCCTGCCCTTTAGCACAGATCGACCATTACTATTGACTCCACATCGCAATCGAGAGAGCCAGACTGCAACACCGCTGTCCCTTTTCCTCACTCCATCTATACCGCTAGTCAACATGGATCAACATCTTTTCTTGCGGACATTACCAAGCGGAGCATCACAATCTATGAAAAAGCTTCTGCAGTCGAAAGCTCGGTCTCATGCCGCTGTTTGGGCATCGAAACGCAATCTTAGAGCGAAATGCTCTAAACAGTGCACAACAAAAAGAAACGTCCTAGGACTCGGACTACCATCTATCGTATAGGTCCCTCGGCTCAACGTCACTGTCAAAATGTAATTAAGAAATCCATAGAATACGTTGATACCGACTGTTGACAGCAGAGCACCACCGTGGCAAACCAATTAATCCACCAAACGCATTAAACTGAGGCGAGGCTACTAGCCATGAGCGTCAACTCGTACGGCGATGGGATAGCCTCTTCACAGCACGCACACTCAACCAAAGGAAGTTCTCCCGTTCATAACTTAATTAACTTTTTTATGAATGATAGTCCCCGAGAACTATATAAGAAGAATCTTAGTCTAGCGTCGACGCCCTAGCTAATTATAAAGCTATTCCTCACTTTAAACTTCTTCCATTATATTTCTCTCATTATCGCTCGCTTTCTTAACGACCTCGCTTAAGACTTAACTATAATCTTCGTCTATTCTCTTAGAAATATTAACTTTTCTTTATACTCTTTAAACGCTCTATAAAGTTATTTAATTATCTCTTATTTAACCCCTTCGAACTCGAGCTCTTTAACGTCTCTAGATCTCTACTACGCTTCGGTTTCCGTATAATTATCTTATAGATTTTTAAGACGATGGCGAAACGATTCTTAATATCGACTTAAGTATTAAATAAGATAATTTATAAGCGAGCCGTTTCGTAAGTTTTCGTATTAATAATCGCTAAAGAATTTTTAATTATTTAAAACTTATAGCTATTAATATCTTACTAAAGATTAGATTTTAGCCGTATTTTCCGAAGTAAAATACTAAAAATACTATTTCTTAATTATCGAACGAAGAAATCGAGTATTATCTTAGTTATATCTAATCTATCTTATATAAAATTAATAACTAAGTATAATTATATTATCTTATTAACTATAAAGATTAGTTAATAATATTCTTTATTTATTAAGTCGTCGTTAAAGATAATAAGTCGTTTTATATTATCGTTAATATTTCTCTAGGCTTTAAATTTTATCGGTACGTTTACGTTCTTATATTAGTTAATTTAGAAAAGAAACGCGGCGCTTAAGATAACGATATATCTTATATATAATTCTTTCCGACTTACTATAATTTCCATATTAATGAAAGACTTACTAACTTATTCGTTATATCTAGAGCTTAGTAGAGCGCTTCGAAAAGCACTACTTAAGATATCGATAGCTCTATAGTCGAGATAATTAAATAAAACTTAGTAATTTATAGTCTTAAACTTTTCTTTCTATTACTTTATTAATTATTCGAGATTCTTTATAAAATCTTTATAAAACGCGGCGATTCTTTCTAATTCTTCTAAATATAAGGCGATCTCTTTCTTAACTATATATAGATAAGCGAATATATATCGTCTAGATATATACTTAGTAAGTAAGCTTAATACGTTAATTATCTTTTTAGCTTCGAATTCGTAATATCGTTATATATCTTCGTAATTAACTAAGAGTAAATTTTTTTCGTAATTTGTTTATCTTATATACTTCTAAATTATTAACTACGTAAATACGATAAAACTTTTAAAATTTAGAATTAAATTTAATAAGTTATTAAATATATTTTTTCCGAAAGAATATAGTGATAGAACGACTTCGAAAGAGCTAGTAATACGTATTTTCTAGTTTATAAGTTATTATTCGATCTTAATTTTGTAAAAGAGTCTAGAAATCCTTAGCTTCTTTATACTTAAGTTATAACCGGGACTTAAAGCTACGAAGCCTAAACCGAGAGTTACTATCTATAATCTCGGTCTCTTTATAACGTCTAAGATATTAATTAAATTATTTCTTATTTAATTTATTTATTCTTAACTTCTAAGAATAGAGCGTTCTTCTTTTAGTTTTATAAACTATATTAAACTTCTTCGTTCTATACTTACTAAATTAAATCGTATCGAAAGAATACTTTATTATAGTCGTATAGAGATTAGAGTAATAAGAGTAGACGTAGTAAGAGTCGCCGAAGTAAAAGTTTAGTCGTCTTAAATAGTTCGCGTATTTAGACGTCTTACGAAAGTATTAAAAGAATTAATAAGATCGGCGAAATTCGTAGCTCGAGATATAGAAAGATTACTAATACTAAAATAAATAATAAGTCGATAAACTATTAAGTTTAAATTATTTTTAGTAATTAAACTTTATATAGTAAGTGGTACTACTAGTCTAAATTTTTCTTTAAATATAATTAAATTATTATAGTTTATAGAAAGAGCGCTTACTTAGTATAGCCCGGCCGCTTTTATAAATTCGTACCGACTAAGTATATTTAACTACTTAGAATAATTACGCTTAGCGATTTACTTATTATCGTTAGATATTTTATCGTCGAGAACGATCTAAACGTTCTTTATAATTAAATATAGTGAGATATTATAATATTAATTCTATTAAATTCGAATAAAACGAGTTATTATTTTATATAAGGCGACTTATAATAGCCGAAGAGATATTACGTTATACTAAAATAAATATTTTCGAGCGAATTAATATTAGTCTAAGAGTATAGTTATATTCTCTCCGTATAAAATAATTAATTCGTTAAAGAATTCTACTAATATTTAAGTAGAAAGCTTTACGAATTCTTCGCGCGAAATAAGAACGTCTCTCTTTCTATACTTATAATTAAAGAGACTTATATTATTTATTCGATCGTATTTAGAAAGTAATTTATTATGTATCTTTACGCGACGATTTCGTTTATTATTAAACTCTTTCTTTTTAGCGTATAGATTAAAGTATTTTTAAAACTCTATATAAATATTTAGAAGATCTTTAGTAAGGTCGTAGACTTATTAAATTATAAAGTCGCGAATTTCTTCTATTTACTAATATTTTAATTTAAGAGAGCTATAGAAATCTTTAATTTAATTCGTATTATTCTAGTTTATAATAGCTATAGCTTCTTTAAGCGTAACTTCTTTAACGTAGTCTAGATATTTAATAGTAAAAATAAATTAGTTTTCGACGGTTTCGATATTAGATACTTAATATTTAATATTTCTATTAATAGCGACTATAAAAGTAGAATTTAAATAAATTATTAAAGATTTCGATAAAAGTAGTTTAGAATTTTTAAATATCTTAGTAATATAGTGAATCTTTAAGATAAGAAATTAAAAGAAAGAAAAGAAAAGAAAAAGATAATTCGATTTAAACTATAGTCGTTAAAATACTAAACTTAATAATAAAGTTATATAAAAATTTCTAAGCTTATATTTTTAATATTTTACTTAGAAAGATAATTTTAAGAGTAAAGAATAAGTCGAGAGAGTCTAAAATAATTTAAAATAATATAAGTAACGAAGAATTAAGTCGTAGAATCGTAATTAAAAGAAAGATTAATAAGAAGATAAGAATTAAATATTTATATTTATCTTTAATAAAAGTATATATATCTTAGCGTCTTTACGATAAAATCTCGATAGTTTCTATTTTAAATTATCTCTTCGAATTAATTTCGTACTAAATTCGATCTTTTAGTAATAATATCGTTATTAATAATATTACTAATATATAATTACTTCGTTATTTTTAGTTTAAACGACTATTTAATTTATCTTATCTATAATTAATCTTTTAGTTATCTATAAAGATCTTATAATATTTTTACTTAGTAAGTGAGAATTCTTAAAGCTCTCGTTCTCTAGCGTCATTACTTTTCATTCGGAATATACTTTAAGTCTTAATATTCACTTTATCTTTTAATGTTTCGAACGAAAACGACTATTTCGATAGTCGTGAAATTTTAGTTAATTAGTACGCTTTATTTTTTCTTATATAATATTTAAATAAATTTAGTTAATTAGAGTACGCGCTCGCTTTCTTAGCGTAAATCTTAATTTTTTTTCTTCTCTTATTCACTTCTTACTTCTTTACGTTCGTAGTATTTTCTTCGTAACTAAACGAGTTACGATACTTTATTCTCTCTCTTTTTCTTTTTATTAACGAGATTTCGAAGTTAATAAAGTTATAGATTTAGACGTATCGTAGTTCGATCTAAGCGTAAGATTATATT